GCAGATTTGCAAAGAGCTGTTTCGACACAGTAGTATATGTATGCTAAATTATCGGCTACAAATGTGTATGTGTGTGCACACGTATAGGGATATATGTGTGGTCTCTGTGTGCAGGTATGTAGTATTTGCATACATATACACACATGCACACATATTTGATTCAGTAGAGACCTGGACAAAAGGCTACAATTTCTTCCTGGCAACAAATATCTGAGTCTCATGAAAAGCAACAAAAAGGAAAAGAAGAGAAAGACAAAGAATACTAATTTTCTTTTAGGTCTACTGCTCAGTTTCTACTACAGTACCAAGCAAATAGCCTGAATAACTGAGACACTATCTCTATCTAGAAACATGCAACATGCTGGTTGATCTATCTCTTTTTAGAATCCCTTTGACTTCTCATTATTTCTTTTCCTTGAGCTCTTAATCTAGTAAGCAGACCTTTCTCCCATTTGTCCCTAAAACACTCTACCAGAAGTTTTTAGTGTTTTGCAAATTCACACTATTGCCTGTGAATTCTTATGAATGAAGGCTAAAGTGCTATTTCTATAAATGCCAGTGGAGTCAGAGATAACTTGTTCTAAAAACTTTTTACTACAATTGGCTCACAATTTGACTCACTCTTGCATATTACTTGCTTATTACTCAGCATGTGCCTAAGGCTGACAAGGATCTGCATGGATAGCCTATGTTTGCTTGTCTGTGTTTCATTTAGTCTCCATCTGTCTAAGGGCTACTTAGGACAGGCTGGTAACCATCCCAGATGTACTATGGCACCTTCTGCAGCACAGGGTCTTTTCTATTCACTGCCAATAATAGACTGTATTGTCAAAGGGCTTCAACTCAGTCTCTTTGTTGAGTAGTAAGATTCATTTGTTGGTGCAGTATTTTCAATGGCAACAACATCCTTAGACTGAGAGTGAATGGATTTCTGCCTGTGCACAACCAGCCACTTTACCCAGCAGTCTGTATACTAAAATGACCTCAAAATAACCTCCTGAGGGGACTTCTGGCTTCATCTATGCATGCATCCATCCGGTGGCTCTGTGCTCACAAGAATGTATCCATGGAAGCCCAGCTGGGTCTTCCTCCAATTAGTAACAAAGACCAGCAATGCTCTGGGTAGTTGCTGGAGAGTACAACCTCAAACTCACTGCTGCTTAATACCTTTCAAAAGCTCAGCTAAGAAGAACAACAGTGATGGAGGATTTCCTGAATGGTATGCAGCGGTCGTTCCTCTGGATACTCTAAATCTCTCCCTGGACTAACCAGACCATTCACAGAGCGAATCATACTAGGCCCCATTAAACTGTTTTCTTTGATCAGGTGATATAATTGGCCTCCATTGAGGGATATGACATGAAACTGCCCTATGTAACCTGTCACTGTGTTTTCAATGAAATTATGTGACATACTGTCTTCTCTAAAGAGTCCATGAGAAAAGCTGCTCTCTACTCTTGGTGTCAAGAATAGCTCTGCTTTTCTTGGGCAACTGGTCTGTTTTTACCTCGGGGAAACTATGTATGTAGTAATTGGACATGTTTCACATTTTGTATGATCTGACAATAAGCTCACAATCAAATCTGTGGTCTGCTGCTTCTACTGAAATAAAATTTGCTGGCTTGCATTTTGGGAATTAATCTCATTGCTGGCTATATCCATACCCTATTTTGCCTTTGCCTCTTTTTTTTAGTTTGCTGATTTTTATTCTATTGTTCTCTGTTGCATAAGTCTTGTTAGACCACATTTAAACCTTTTTGCAACAAGTTGAAATATAAACACATTAGAAAAATGAGAAGCTATAGTAAAGCAATGTAGTTAGTGGGTCAAACATAATACACAAAACTTCTCAGAATTCTAATCTTAGCTTTCTCATTAATATACCAGTTAACAGTCAGGAATAATTCACTATAACTATAAAGCTCAATCTATAACCAACAAGCTTAATGTTAAAGCCTAAAGAATAAAAACATACAGACATGATAAATAATGAGGGAAATTCAGGAATCAAGTTACAAAAGACAACATATTCCAGAATCCATTATTAGCCTCTCAGCTCTTCAGCCTTTTCTGGGAGTCAGTCACAACAGGCATTAATGCTTCCTATGTCTTCTACTGGATGAAAACATTTCACTGCTATTAAAAAGCACAGTACTCCAATCACCTACCGTGTTTGTGGATAAATGCAAGTCCTTGCAATATCTGATACATGATATTCCTTACAGCAGACTCAGGAAACAACTTATTTCTGTAAGAGGTAAAGGAAAACAAAATTTGTGTATGAATATGAAACCTGTGTTTTTGTGTTCTTTTGGTTATATAATCATACAGTAAAAAATTAAGAAAACATTCACTCATATGCTAATTTTTGGCCAGATGTTTTGATAATAAATACCAAAGAAAAATAATCATTTGTCCATAAAGGGGAGCTACCTTATAAACAACAAATATATTCAGTTATGTTATGAAGAAGAAAAGATTAAACATTTTATAGCAAATAAAAAAATTTTCTCCAACATATTAATAGCATATAAAAATCTAAAAATCTACTCTCTCTCTGATATAAACTGAAACTTTTTACAATTTTAGTGGGGAAAATCTGAGGCCTCCTAGATGAAAGCCTTATGTGACGCAATAGCTAACATTTTCCCTCTGGTTGGGCACTCCATACAGCAACACCGCTGTTATTGACAATAAAGATGATAATTGTTCGCACAAATCACTCAGAGGGATGCTGTGAATGGCATTCATTTTGTGACCAAGAAAATGTGCCCAAGAGGCTGTGCATGGTTGGTTCATTTTAAAATCCAAAATCCCCATAGCAAGTAAGTTTCCTATTAGTCTCCTATTCCTAGTATGCAAGCACCTGAGCACTATAGCAAGAGAGGAATCGAAATAAACCTAGACTTTTCAATGGAGGTCTCAAAATAAATGAAGCTGTGTACACCCCTGACTTGTAGTTGTTCTGCTCAAATGTCCTCGTGGGAATGGAAAACTGCAGCGTCTGTTGAATCCTTGAGCTTCTTTGGATGAATAACCCTTTAAAACACGAAAACAGCTGCACTGAGAATAGCTTCCCTGAAGCTATCACAGGGCCTCCAAAGTAGGAATGTGGGCAGGGCCCCTCATCTAACTGGCAGGTTTCCACATTAAAGCCCAGTAGTGTGACTGTTAAATAGTGGAGGAAGAATGAGGAGACTGCAATAAACAAAAGCAGAAAGAAAACACATCCACTTTGCAAGATTTATTTCTAGGGTCGTGATGACCAAACTGTACCTTTCTTTAATGAGCTGGTAAAGATTTTCCTTCATGTACTCGAAGATAAAATAAAGATGATCATTTTCCCTGATAACTTCTTTTAATTTGACTACGTTGGCATGGTTGAGCTTCTTTAAAGACTGAAAGGCAAGAAAGAAAAAAAAATTAGAGAAAATCTGTTGAAAAAGGAAAGTAATCCTATGCATCCTTAGGAAGAAACACCTAATTTCAGAACCACAGAAACGCCACGTTATATTTTACTGACAAGTTAATAGACAGTATTTCTCTGAAATCGATAGTAACTTCACCTAGGAAAACCATTTTGGTGAACTGACTAGGAGGTTAGTATTTGACCAGTAACTGGTATTGCAGGCTGCCCCCAGCACCAGGCAATGCACCAGGGCTATTTTAGGCCCACTCCCTTCAGATGATGGAATTCAGGCTGTGGAAGTGGCCAGAGAGGAACCAATAAAGGAAGCTGAGGCTTTGATTTTTCTAGCAAAAATGCAGTCTGCAGGTACTTTGAATAGAAATTTATTCACAAAGACTGAAGCTGATGGCTGAATACCCTGGACTTTCTTCTGACTTGTGTGTGTCCCTGAGGCGTAGAGTCTCCTTCTTCCAAGGTGAGTTTGAGTTACAATGTGAGGAGAAGGAGGAGACACCTTGTTGGAAAGACCCTGAAGTGAGATGAGTGAAATCCCTCTGCTTCCAAGAACGACAAAGGCAAAAAAAGTCAGGCAGTGGCTGAGGGGAAAAGGTAGCTCAGAAAATGGTGCATGGCCTTCCGATTACTCAGCTTCACACATACACAGTTTTTCTCTTCCTGCAGCACGTGAGTCCAACCACGTGTATACTGTTTTCTGTTTGTATCATTAGTTCTGCCGATAGTGACCAAATACACTTCTGCATTTGTAAGCAGCAGTCCAGTTCCTGTACAACAGCCAGGGACACCCAGCTGTTGGTTTGCTTACCGGTTGACCAGATTCCAACAGACTATCTCCTTCAAGGAAGCCTCCAAGTGCCACTTTGGCCAGTGAGATGAGCCCTTTAATTCAAAAAGCCTTTGCCTCATAGAAAAGTGAGTACGATAACAATAAATTGTGAAAACCCTCTTCATCTTTGAATTTCTTTAAAGACAACATCCCTTTTATAAAACGAACAGAATTTTTGAAGATGAAAGTGTTAAAACGAATATCCAAATCTAGAAGGACACTCAGTAACCAGGTACCCAAGGGATCAGAGCTTGGACTGTGCAACATGATCAAGTTACTTCAAGCAGCTGGGGGCAGAAAGGAACTATGGGCAGTGAACGAGAACAAAGTAAGACTCTTCTGGAACCTCTCCCCCAAAAGGAAAGTTCCGGGCCAAGACACTTCTCTGGCAGGGAATCCTCAGCTGTTTTGGCCAGATCATTCTAGAATGACCCAACTGGGCTGATTACCTCTTTTACTTGGGTTGGATTCCTGGTTCTCTGTAACAAATATCACACATTGCTTAACTTATTTAGAATTTACTAAATGCTCACTGATTGCAACCACCTTTTTTTTTCTGCCTGTCTCCTTAAAATACATCACAAGCAACACCTGAGATAGCTAATGGATGTGTAGCCTTGGGGCAAATTCATTCAGGGGAAAATGAAGTCAGTTTTAAAGCTTTTCTAGAAGAGAATTCTAGGCAAGGAGTGGGTACCTTCACCTGTTACCTGAAGGGTGTTTTGAGCATGGATGACTGGCCCAAGCCTAAGAGTGGCTCACAGCTCTTGTTTCTAAGTGAAGCTTGAGCAAGTTAAAGTCTGGATTAGTGTAATATAAAAAGAGTTAAGTTTTGTGTGGGGGACTTCACATGACTCACTTTACAGAGCTCTATTTCCAGATGGAAGACATCCTATTTTGGCTCAGGAAAGGTTTCCAAAGCAGAGGGAGAGGCAGGTCAGTCGTATCGGAGTGGAGAAGCAGAAGTATTAATAGCAAATTAAACCTGGTCATGAGTCCACATGGGGATGAAGCTTCCAGTTGGATATTACCAATTTTGCCCTCCTCAGGGACTGAGCAACTGTTCCTGAACTATTAAAACTACGATGTACTGGGCCTCAAGGATAGTCTGGGGCATGAGACACAGGGCCTGCTCTTAAGAGGCAAACACCCTAACTGGGAAGACAGGACATGGATACAAAATACCTGTGACAGAATAAGGAAGATCATAAGTGTCAAAGGAATGACAGGAACATGGACCACCAGAGATGTTTCAAGAGGAAGTAATCAGCAAACTCTGGTGCTCAGTGAGAGCATAGTGGAGATGTGACTTGAAGGAAGAACAAGCTCACCGGGAGGGAAAAGGCACACCAGGAGGAAGCCCATCACAGGCAAGGCGTGGAAAGAGAGGGGTGGACTCTGTCTGAGGGGTGAAGAAAGAGACTCACTCCAGTTTAATTCTGAAGGAGGCTTATCTGGAAGAGTCTGGCTGGAGAAGTGGGCAGGGAGCAAACTGTCTGGATGCCAGGTGTACACCCATTGAGTTCTGGCAAATCTAGTAGCTTCAGGAGAGTTGCGAAGGGAGATGCCTAATTCGAGTAGGTTGAAAGCAAATGGTATGGGGGCAAGCGGCACTGAAGGGAGAAGTTTGGGAGGTAAGGTAAGGAGAGGAAAGAGGTGGAAGCTCAAGGGGAGAGAGGGTGGAGACTTTTTTGGGTTAGAGAGAATGGTGGGCACATTTGCAGACTGAAGAAAAGGAGCCAGTAGAAAGGAGAGTTTCAAGATAAGGGAAGGAGGGGGAAATTGTTGGAGTAAGGATCTAAAGACACCAGAAGTGGCTGGGCGTGGTGGCTCATGCCTGTAATCCTAGCACTCTGGGAGGCTGAGACGGGCGGATTGTTTGAGCTCAGGAGTTCGAAACCAGCCTGAGCAACAGCGAGACCCTGTCTCTACTAAAAATATAGAAAAAATTAGCTGGACAACTAAAAATATATAGAAAAAAAAAAATTAGCCGGCCATGGTGGCACATGCCTGTAGTCCCAGCTACTCAGGAGGCTGAGGCAGGAGGATCGCTTGAGCCCAGGAGTTTGAGGTTGCTGTGAGCTAGGATGATGCCACCGCACTCTAGCCAGGGCAACACAGTGAGACTCTGCCTCAAAAAAATAAATAAATAAATAAAGACACCAGAAGTTAAGATGATTTAAAAAAAAAAAAAAAAGAAGACAGGAACAGAGAGCCAGGATGCTGGCAGTCTATGACCCCAGCGTAGACCGTAGTCTAGAACACCACAGCGCCCCGGAAGATGAGACTTTTAAGAAAAATGCCACCAGGTCCCACTCCCCCCAGTGACATCAAAGGAGCAAGGACTCCCCTCCCTGCAGCTGGCCATCGGGTGCAGAGTCTTCCTGAAGTCCACAGGCTCGCCCGAGGTAACCTGGGGGTGTACAGGCAGACAGCAATGAGGGCCACAGAGATGAAGAAGGGACAGTGGCGTGATGAGTACCACAGTGCAGGATCTCCCTGCAGTTCCTTCCGGTGCTGTGACGAAGCAGCTGGCAGGACGTGGGGAGTGATGGTGGCAAGAGTCCTTCAGTGACCTTCCTTTCCCTTCCCCTTCTGAGTCAGCAGGTAGAAAAGAAGGACCTCGGCAAGGAGGAACGGAAAGGGGCCCTTGGCAAGGTGCTTCCCTCTGGCTGCGTCTTCCTTCCCTCCCCTCGTATTCAGGGGTTGGCTGTGGCCCAGTGCTGAGGGTCAGCATGGGTGGGGGTGGGGGTGGGGGGATCCAGGTTGGCAGCAGATGTGGCATCTGTGCAGGCAAGGAGAAAGAGTGGGATGTGTCCGGTGGCCGTTAGCTAGAGGAGCGGTTTCTTCAACCGTCTCGCTGAGGCAGCCACTTAATTCCTAAGATGCAATGTGCCTACAGTTTTTCTAAACTGTATGCCTGAGTAATCTCTTTTCTGTTAGAACTAATAATGTGCAGTCAGCTGCACAGAAAAGTAAAGGTTTAACATCTGAATGAAGGATACCTCTCAGAACCTCATGTCACAGAGAAAATGCTCTTGGGTCATCCTTTGTTCCTCTCTGATGTTTTCAGATCTCCCAGCACTTTTATTTTATTTACTGACCAGAGGTTGGTAAATTATGACCCATGGGTGAGATCCAGCCCACCACCTGTTTCTGTGTTGTCCACAAGCTAAGAATAGTTTACAGATAAATAATGGCAATTAGTTTGATGATAGGGAACATGAACTTTGAACCTCAAGTAAGTTAGGTGTTATGTTCTGCCCCCAAAAAAAGAATGTCATTCTTCTCACTGGAAGACCTGTCATATAAAAATTATACTCTATTATTATTACTGTTGTTGTTATATTTATATTTTATAAGGATTTTATGAAAATGTGTTTTCATTCTTTTTATATATGTATCTATATGATATCCTCAATATGACCTTTGGCTTCAAAAGCATGGAAGATTTACTACCTGGCCTTTTACAGAAGAATTTTGCCTGCTCTAGACTTGTAACCCCCCCTTCCATGTACAGGACCCCTTGGAGCAAAAGGAAGGGTTTCAGTATTCTATCTATCAGGTATCTCAGACAGGGCTGTGTGAGAGGATGAAGAGCAGATGAAGCACCACCCTGGTGCACAAGGAAGAGAATTATGCCACAAAGCTCAAAATGGTCAATCTATTCTGGTGGAGACACGAGGAGAATTGAAAGAGGATCAACAAAAAGGGGGTAAGGGGGAAAGGAAGGCAATAGTGAACCCAGTTAGAAGGCTCGTAAAAGTGAAGATATGTGCTACCCAATGCTTGACACAGCGGTACCTTGATCAGTGAATTCCCTCAGACAACAGACTGCAAATTATTACAGCAAGAAATGGAAATAAGTACTGCCATTATGTCTAGGAAAAACACTCAACAAACGCATTTTCCTTTATATCAATAATTAGGACGATCGCCTTCAAAGGCAACACTAATTCACTAAATCAACACATTCAACTCATTTATACTGAAATATATTGATATAAGAGATCCATTAAAGATGAAAGGTAATAACAGTATATTCACTACTACATTAACATAGTAATTGTCTGCTTTCAGCTATTAGCTGCATAATCTTATCATTTGCCCACTTTTTTAGCGTTAGTGAAAAAATTCAAATGGAATTGACTATATCAACTATAAATCTAAGCATGCACAGAGCTATTTTAATCAGCCATACATAAATTATTCCCTGGTATATTATTAAATACCTTAACCTCCCGAAGGTTCATGCATTCCTCCCAGGAATAAAACTTTCTTTTCATTCTGAAAGAGAAGAAAGAAACAAATAGCACACTTATTCTCAGTAATAGGCTAAACTTTATTTTTAAAAATGTTTTCATTTTGAACTTAACGAACACTGCTTAAAGTTGGTTCCAATTTCCATCAAATATAATGCATCCCAAACAGCATTTAATTTAAATGTGTCTGTGCAATCAGTTCTGAGTCAGAAACCTTCCCAGCAGCAGTGGTGTGGTGTAATACAGAGAGGCCTGGACTGCTGTCTTGCTCTACCACTAATCAGCCAACCTTGCCCAGAGAGAAATCCCTCAGGCTTATTCTACCTAGACCAGAGCTGTCCAGTAGAACTTTCTGTATTGGTAGAAATGTTCTGTGCTGTCCAGTATGGTAGTCACTAGACACATGTGGCTATTGGGCACTTGGCATAAGGCTAGTACAACACAGAAATTGAATTTTAATTTTAACTAAATTTAAATGCCACATATGGTTACTCACTAGTAATCTAGACAACAGAGTTCTAGACCCTCCAGGGCAGGGCTTGGTAAACTGTGGCCCATGGGCTAAATCTATACTAACATCCATTTTGGTATAGATCATGAGCTAAGAATGGTATTTACACTTTTAAATGGTTGGGGCCAACAAGTTAAAACAAGAATATTTCATGATATATGAAAATTATATGAAATTCAAATATCAGTTCCACAAATGAAGTTTTACTGGAATATAACCACACTCATTTATTTATATATTGCCTGTGGCTGCTTTCAAACTGCAACAGCAGAACTGAGTTGTTGTGACAGATATCGTATGACCTGCAAAGCCTAAAATATTTACTGCCTGGCCCTTTATAAAGAGAGTTTGCCTACCCTTGGTCTAGAGCCTGAAAGGAGAAAAATAAAACTCTATTAGCTAACCAGAAATCCAAGTTGCAAGGTTCCATTTTTCAATGCGTTTCAACCACATTGTCTCATCTGAGTCTTACAGCAGCCCTGTGAAACAGATGGGACAGGTGAGGAAACCAAGACAGAGGGCAGGTGCATGACTCTGCCAAAGTCTCACTGCCGGGTAGTAGGTAAACGTCCATCTCTCCAGCTCACTCTGACCCTCTGTCCTCATCACACTGTCTCCTGGTTGAGTAATCAATTCCTTTATTCATGCCCCGTATATTATTTAGCCCCTCCGCTGTGGTATAGCAGGCACTTTGCCAGGCACTGGAGATGCAATGATGAGAAAGACATCCCTCATGGAACTGGCATCGTAGCAGGAAGGCAGAGAATAATTTTCTGTACGAAGCGCTATGAAGGAAAGGAAGAGGGCACTGTAAGAGTGAACCTCAAAGGGGCCTACTCTAGTCCAGAGTCTCAGGGAACTCTCCTCTAATGAAGACATAGTTCAACCGAGACTTGAAGGATGAGTAGAATTTAGCGAGGTGGGAGGCGTGGAGTAGGAAATACTATGTGAAGGTTCTAGCCAGCAGGGTATTTGGTGAGTTCCAGAAGTGGAAACGCCAGAGTGCCCAGAGCAAAGCAGGGACAGGGGTAGTGACAGGAGACCAGGCTGGAAACAGGCAGGGGCCAAATGATGTAGCAATTTGTAGGTCACATTAAAAATTGGGGGCTTGACCCTAAAACTGACAGGGAGACACTGAAAGCTGTCTTAGTTTGGATTTCCCCAAAAGCAGGGCGTAAGGCAATGACTTGGGTGCAGGTAGTTTTTTGGGTGGTGATTCTAGGAAGCCAGGCAAGGAGCGGGGGAACTGGGAAGGGAGAGGAAGGGAACCCAACAGAAGGCACACGACTGAGCTGATAGCAGGGCAGGCAACTGGGCTCAGGCCTGTTGGGGACATTTTAAGGAGCTGGGTAGAACAAACCTTGGTGGAGAGTCTCCCATGTACACTGGAGGCGGGATGCTGGCAGCAGGCACAGAACTGTACGCTATAGCCACACTCAAGTCAGGTGGCACAGGAGGGGGGATGGGGCAGCAGGACACAAAGAACATCTGGCATAAATGGCTTTTAGGTGATGAGATTTGTGTGTTTAAAACAACCCCTTCAGTGTGGTATGAATAGGAGAAAGAATGGAAGCCAAGAGCCCTAGAGAGGACTTACTGGTCATGGTAGGGAGTGGTGATGGGTTGAATGGGAGGTTGGAGTGGGAATATGGAGAGCAGGTGGATCAGCTAAATATTTAGTAGAATGGACAGGACTAGATGACCAAGATGGCATAAGCGGAGGGAAGTCAGGAGCACTCCTCAGTTTTGAGGGGATGGTAGTGCCATTTATCAAGATAGGGAATACTGAAGGAGAAACGAGTTTGGGGAAATAGCGAGGGAGTATGCTGAATCTGAGTTTAGTTCTGGACATGGTGAATTTGAGATGTTTGTAGGGCATCCAAATAGAGATGGGTGTGGCAGACTCTAACGTAGTCTCCAAAGACCCCCACCTCCTGCTATTCTTAAAAGACTCTTTCATTGCCTTCTTGACTCCCATGTCTTGAAGAAGCAAATTGCCATCTTGTGAGCTGCTCTCTAGAGAGGCCCACATGGCAAGGAACTGAGGGTTGCCTCCTGCCAACAGCCAGCAGTTCAACAACCCACAGGTGTTGAATGTTGCCCTCGATCACGTGACTGAGCTCAGAAGTGGGTCCTTCCCCAGTCTAGCCTTCGGATGTGACCACGGCCCCAGCCAACACCTTGACTGCAGTCTCATCAGAAACCCTGAAGCAGAGAATTCAGCTAAGCTGTGCCAAGACTCCTGACCCACAGAACTGTGAGATAATAAATGTGTATTGTTTTAAACCACTAAGTCTTGGGGTAAATCGTTATGCAGCAACATTTAACTAATTCAATGGGTCTGGACTCAGGTCACAAAAATCAAGTGGGGCATAGGGAGCAAGACAGCAGTCACCAGACCACCACATGTGTAAATGACCCAAATTAAATCACTTACTTTCTCAGTGTTTCAGGTTTCCTCTCCTATAAAACGGTGCTTATTAACCTGCTCATTACTACCTCGCAATATGAGAAAACACTTTGACAAAGTACTAGCACCATGTGCAAAGTAGTAAGTCTAAAGTGGAAATGTTTTTAAGACCTCTACCATGAGTGTTGCAGTCAACAGACATCTAACCCACAGAGACCATTTTCTGAGGTTCTTCTCCATGCCGCCCACGCACTCCCCTTTAGAAATGTTTCAAAGACTGGGGATGGCAAGGACAGTTAAAACTATCTTGATAACGTGTAGCTGAGGATAAATTCATGAGAGTGAAGGATAAAACTTACTTTTTAATAGCGATCAGTTCCCCAGACTCAATGCTTCTTCCCAGCAGGACGGAACCGTAGGTCCCATCGCCGAGCTGCTTGATCGTCGTGTACCTATTCATGGTGTGCCCGCTCGGGATGGACACTCATCTCACGGCCGAGGTGGCTCAGCCCTGCAGCGGTAGCAGGCCTCCCCGGAGTGTAACCAGATTTTTCGATGGCAGCACCAGCACAAGGTATTCGACAGAACGTGGCTATCTCCCAAATACATATTTTCAAAGATCAGTCTTCTGCCTATAGAGAAAAATGAGAGACAAGGATAAATGCCAATGTACATTTTGAGTTCATATATTTTTACAGTCCAAACTAGGGGTCAGCAAACTAATCTCCAGCCAGCCACCTGTTCTTGCAAATAAAGTTTTATTGGAACGCAGTCATACCCACATGCCTGCATATTGTCTATGGCTACAACAGCAGAGTTGAGCAGTTGTGACACTGCATGGCCCGCAAAGTCTAAAGTACAGCACATCCTGGAATGACGTCGTTTCACTATGTTGTTTCATTATAATGTTGATGAGAAAAACAAAAAAAATCAGTTCTAGCCAGGGCCACTGTCTGGGTGGAGTCTGCATGTTCTCCCCACGTCTGTGAGTACTCCGGTTTCCTCCCACTTCCCAAAGATGTACACATGCAGTCCCCTGGCGTGTCTACATGGTCCCAGTCTGAGCAAGTGTGGGTGTGTAAGTGTGCCCTCCGATGGCATCCTGTCCAGGGCTGGTTCCCACCTTGTGCCCTGAGCTGCCAGGATAAGGTCTGGCCACCTGAACTGGACTAAGTGGGTAAATAATGACCTTGTTTTTATTAATCACATGTATTCCAATGTTTAATATTAGAAGTATTTTTGGTCTTTATTTAGAAGTTTGGTGATGTTTTTTGTGACCAGAAATATACCATAGGACATTAACTCTTGTTTGTATCAATTAGGGTATGGTAAAATTGGTTTCATTATATGTCATTTTGTTTAAAGTCGCAGTTTCCAAGAACCTATCAGTGATGTTAAGCAAGGACTTACTATGTTTACTATGTGGCCCTTTACATAAAAAGTCTGTTGATCCCTGGTCTAAGTAATGATCTTTTCCAATTTTTTAAATAGAACTAGAGATACCATGCTTGGAAAACGAATTTGTCACTGACTCAGAAATGAATCAGCTCCAATTCAATGTTTTTCTGCTGACTAACCATTCTGGGCGAACTCTGCGAAACAACTAGGGTCCATGAAAATTGCTGAGCTATGAAAATTCCTGCTAAATAAACTGTTCTCTGTGCACTTCAGTTACAATTAACAATATAAACATACAAAAGCCAAGAAATGCTAAAGTTAAAGTTCTCCTGATGGAGAACTTATGTGTGCTCCATGAACTATCCGTGGCTAAGCATCAACAGTATTATTTTTACTACTAGACATTCCGAAGCTAAACAAAGAACTAGTAATTCAAGGCCTACATGTAGGGTGTGCCCCTTTTAAAGTCATTCAGTTCTATGTTTTCTCAATAATGTCATTGACTTTTCATTTATATAATGGAGAGTTGTTCAATCTGTCTATAATAAAGAAATTGTAGTAATTACTTAAATGATTGTAATGCCTTAGGCAAACATTAGTAAAAATGTAAATGCTTAAGTAAGAATAAAGTGTTTTTTTTTTTTAAAAAAAAATAGAGCTGTCAAACTAATAATCTCAAAAATCAAAAGATCAGAAAATAATGATTGGAAGCATGAGACATTCTGCATCTAAATCCAGTCTATGCAGCTCCTCCTTCCAGGGAAATTCCAGTCAATAAATGCAGAAGGAAAGGGGGAAATAAGAAATTTACCGTTAGGCAAATACCACAGTAAAGTTTGTTACTGGCAAGGTTCACTGATGGATGCAAAAGTTACTGGATGAAAAGTTTAAGGAGAAAAAGGATATTTGCATAGTCTCAAAGTATCTCTAAGGTATTTATTAATTTCCAGGGGGAAATTGTAACTTCACAGGAAGAAATCCTTCACAGCAGAACCCTCCTTATCTGAGTGATCGAGTTCAACATCACCAATGATAAGACGTGACCTTATGTACTCTGGATGTGATACACTTGAGAAGGGTACAACATCACTTCTGGGGTATTCTTGTCAAAAAAGCAGAACCTCAATCTAACCATGAGAAAACATCAGACAGACCCAAAATAAGGGACAGTCTATAAACAACTCACCAGTACTCTTTAAAAGTGTCAAGATCCCAAAAGACAAGGACAGACTGTGGAACTGTCACAGATTAAAGGTAATTAGGGAGACATGACAATTAAATGCAACGAGGGGTCCTAGATAGGATCCTGGGACAAAAAAAGGACACTGAAAAAGTTTGTGAAATTTGAATAAGGTCTGTAGTTGAATAGTATCGTACCAATGCTAATTCCTGGTTTTGATCATTGGTCTATGGTTATGGAAATCGTTACTATTAGGGAAAGCGAGGTGAAAGATTTCTACCAACTCTGTACTATTTTTGCAACTTTTCTGTAAATCTAAATTAGTTCAAAATTTAAAAACAAATCCAGACTATGTTCTTCTGAAAGTCACGTGTGAGCTTGAGAAATCTTAAGAAATATAAAGGTTATGCCTGATTTCACGACACTAATATAACCAAAAGAGCTTCGAGAGATCGAGCTCCAACCCTCCTTTCTCCTAGAGCCATGTGAGAGCCCCTGCTTACAGGGGCATCTTCCTTCTTGAAACCCTTCAGGCTCACAACTTCCTTCAGCAGGCCTTTACAGTGATATACTCCATTGCTGATTAATAAATATTCATAAAGCACCTCCTGTGTGACAGATCCTATGTTTAACCTCTAAGGATGCAAAGACCAGTAAAACATGGTCCCTTCTTTCAAAGAACTTAGACATGACAGAGCAAGGGGGTGGTGGTGGTGGGGCAGATATGTACTCAGATATTTCAAGTATGCCCAGGCTACAGGATGTGGGTGAGGAGGGGTTAAGGAGAAAGCCCCCTTGGCTTCCAGCTGGGCCAATTCCATCTGGGCTCAGGAAGGCAGTGAGAAAAAAAAATAAAAGTAGATTTTTTTTTTTTTTTTTAAATGGCAAATAGGGTTCTAGCACTCCAAGGAACAGCAATGAAGATGTAGGGGCTTATACTTGTGGGGTAGGAAGGTAGGAGCCTGGAACTGCAAAGAGATAATCCCCGAGTTTTATTTATGGAGGACCCCAGATGCCATTTTTAAAAACATAGGTTTTGACTAGATCCTGTACTAGAGAAGAAAATACTTTAAAACTGTGGTCCCCAAGCCCCGGGCCTCAGAGCAGTATGGGTCCGCGGCCTGTTAGGAATCAGGCCCCCTGTCCGTGGAAAAATTGTCTTCCGTGAAACTGGTCCCTGGTGCTGACAAGCTTGGGGACTACTGCTATAAAGGATATTTTTGGTCAATGGAAAAAATTGGAATATGCACAGTAGATTAGATAAAAATATTGTATCTGTGTTAAATGTACTTAAGTTGATGCCTACTCTGTGGTTCAGTAAGAACATGGTCTTATTCTTGAAAAATACACCCCAAAGGATTTACAGATAAAGGACCATGATGCATGTGATTTACTCTCAAGCAGACAGAATAAAAATTTGGGAGGCGGGGATAAGGAGCGAACAAATGGGGTAAAATGGTAACAGGTAAATCTGGGTAAAGGGTATGCTACAGACTGAAGTGTATCTCCTCCCCCAAATTCATATGTTGAAGCCCTAACCCCAATGTGACTGTATTTGGAGATATACCTACAAAGAGATAATTGGGTTAAATGAGGGGACAAGGGAGGGGGCTCTGATATCATAGGATTAGAGTCTTGTACCTTACCCCCACCCCATGCCATGTGAGGACACAGGGAGAAGTCAACCATCTACACACCAGGAAGAGAGCTCTCACCAGAAACTGAACCTCATTTGGTCTTGGACTTTATAGCCTCCAGAAGTGTGAAAAAAATAAATTCATGTTGTTTAAGACACCCAGTTTATGATATTTTGTTATGACAGTCCAAGCAGACTAAGCTGGGGCATATGGGTATTTGTACTATTCTTCTAACTTTTCTGTAAACTTGGAATTATTATAGATTAAAAGTTTAAAAAATTCTTCAAAAGGGTAGAGTAAGGGAATTTTTTAAAAGACACATGCATCTTAAACATTTTATTTTAGCTTAAAACATACAAATGTAGATTGACAGAACATGCATGCAACATGGTTTGCTCCACCTTACCATTACTATATTGCAGACAAGTTTGGATTCAGGCTGTACCTCCACATAGCATAAAAAGTGCATTTGGGCCACAGCACAAATAATTCTGGCTCTGCATTTGTTTTTCTTATTTTTTCTATTTATCTTCATTTATTTTTTGATATAGCATACAGACAGTCCCCAACTTCAATGGTTTGACTGTGATTTTTCTGCTTTATGCTGGTGTGAAAGCCATATGCATTCGGTACAAATCATACTTCGAGTACCCATTCAACTGTTCTGCTTTTCACTTTGAGTACAGTATTTGATAAATTACATGAGATATTAAACACTTTATTATAAAATAGGTTTTGTTTTAGATGATTTTGCCCAACTGTAGGTTAATGCAAGTGTTCTGAGCATATTTAAAGTAGGCTAGGCTAAGCTAGGATATTCTGTAGGTTAGGTGTATTAAATGCATTTTTAACTTAGTATATTTTCAATTTATGATGGGTTTATTGGGACATAACCACATTATAAGCTGAAGAACATCTGTACGTGATGTCTGTATTATACATGATTTCATTTTCCAACAAGATTCCTAAACTATTGTGATACGTCATCTTCCTAAAAAAAAAAATCACTAGAAACTTCATTCGCCAAAAAAATCACCTCGCTAATAAACTACGATCTGTTTGGGTTTTTTTTTTTTTTTAAGTAGGCTTTGCCCTAGAGATAATGGGAAGTCAATTAAAGTTTTTTCGTTAGGGGATTAACATAATCATATTTGTATTTTGTAATCCAGTTAGTTGGAATATTTTTCTTCATGTCCAACCAAAACTTCCATATTCTAATTTAAGCTAATTAAAATTTTAATTTTTCCATGCTTAGTTTTTTGGGGATATAAAGAAACCATGTCATAAAAATATGTATACACATGAAACTAGTAATCAAGTGTATGTCTCTTGGCCTTCTCCTGCCTTAATTACAAAACCTTTCCTCATAGGACCCATTTTCCACTCCTTTAATTATCTTTGGCACTCATCTCTGAAT